GGGGGGAAAGAGGGAGGAGATGGAGAAAAATGAAAAAAGGAAAGGCATTTGGGTGAGGGGAAGGAGTGGTCAAAATTGGATTGACAAAGATTTTTTTCTTGTCCAACAGGTACCGCATTTCACCATCCACGTTACTCGTGCACTTTCATACTTTATTTTGATCAGTTCATCGTGGTGCACTTTCGGGCCACCAGAACAGCTGGCAACTCTTCCATGGCTATTAATTGTCTTCGGGGTAACTTCAAGAACAAAGTAAATTTGTAGATTGATGAGGCAAAATATATATCGATGGTAGATGACTGGACGGAAAAACTAATGAAAGCATACGATGAATACAAAACAAAGCAGGAAGCATTGCGAGCTAAGCAAAGTAAACATTTTCCTTAGAATCGTTCAAACTGTTTAAACTCTGCTAAAATTTATAGAACTTTTTGAAATGGTTCGTATGTTTCACACTCTGACGAGCTTAGTGCGGTAGGGATTATCCCTGCTGCCACACAGAAGATCGAAGGTTTGACTCCGCTTGTGAAATAAGAAATCCCTGTACGGTTCTCTCGGTTTTTGTGATAGTAATTTGGTACTAGCATATGCCAAGGTGTCAAACCCGGTATTATCTTAGTTGCAGGCTCTCGAATGAGATAGCGATCGAAAGTACCTTACCAGCGGATAGCTGAAATACTTTCGAGCACTCATCCCCTCGTAAAGAGCGAGTGCAGAGGACTTTTGATTTTTTCTGCTTAAAATATGAGGGATTTTAAGCTAGCTTTAGATTTTCCTCAAAACTCAACTTTCGTTAAAAAATGTTTGCAAAACCAAAGTTTAGATCGCTGTTTTTTTGTGGACAGTATAACTCTTGTGTTTTGAAATTAATTTATGAATTGGTTACACTAAAAGTTAGAACTCATATGTTTGCAACTTTATATGAGTCTAAGCGGATAATAAGTTTTTAGCCGTATGCTTCAAAGGAGCGTGTAATGTTATCCAGGGTTTTGTTTTCTAGTTGTAGAGCGTGAGCAACTGGCCGAAGAGACGCCAATTTTATATCGGCTCACTGTTGGTGACTCATCGCCTTCGCCGAAGAATAAAGTATCTGATGAGATCCAATCACCACAAGTGACAACCACGGATCAACAGCAGCAGCAGCAACAGCAGCAACAGCATTCACAACATCCATCAGTTACCACTACTGCTAGCAGTGGCACCACCACCACTGCTCCTACCGCAGCGCAACTAGTCCAAGCACCATGCATCGGAGTACCAGAAAACGAGAAAGAGCAGCCACAACAGCAATTGCAACCTCAAGAAGCTGTTACTTGCTCCCAAACGCCGGAAATTCAAGCGAACAGCGTCCCGGTAACTCAGTCTGATCAATGAATACTGAGAGAAACGACTGGTCTTTGGGTATTTTCCTCAGATTTGAATATTATTGGATGTATTATTTTGCTACCATAGTTTTTACGTTGAGCAGCTGTAAATTCACAATATGGTGTTGAGCAAAATTTTCAGCTTTTTCGACTAGGGATGAAACACAGACAGGCTAGCAAGTCACTGTAAGAACAGACTTGCCTATATGGGAGATCTCAGTGGCACTTCCAGTGTTTTCATTAATTATCAAAATTCCACTATTTTCCTCTCCACGGTGGGCCAGCAACGCCAGCCAGCTGCATATATACTGGTCGGCGTTTAGCAATAATTACGTTCGTTTGTTCTCTCGGCATCATCTCGATGGAAAAAACATATGTAAAAGAGGTGGGA